TTCAGGAAAATCAGATACACCAAGGGAACATTTCATGCAAACATGGGCACAATAAAGAACGGAAATGGTATGGACCTAACAGAAGCAGAAGATATTAAGAGGTGGACAGAATACACAGAACTATACAAAAAAGATCTTCATGACCCAGATAACCATGATGGCGTGATCATTCACTGGGAAGCAGACATCCTGGGATATGAAGTCAAGTGGGCTTTAGGAAGCATCACTACTAACAAAGCTAGTCAAGGTGATGTAATTCCAGCTGAGCTCTTTCAAATCCTAAAAGATGATGCTGTAAAAGTGTTGCACTCAGTATGCTAGCAAATTTGGAAAACTCAGCAGTGGCCACAGGACTGAAACAATCAGTTTTCATTCCAATCTCAAAGAAAGGAAATACCAAAGAATATTCAAACTACTGCACAACTGCACTCATCTCACATGCTAGCAAAGTGATGTTCAAAATTCTACAAGCCAGGCTTCAATAATATGTGAACTGAGAGCTTCCAGATGTTCAAGCTGGATTTAAAAAAGGCAGAGGAACCAGAGACCAAATTGCCAACATCTACTGGATCATTGAAAAAGCAAGAGAGTTCCAGAAAAACATCTACTTCGGCTTTATTGACTACACCAAAGCCTTTGACGGTGTAGATCACAATAAACTGTGGAAAATTCTTCAAGAGATGGGAATACCAGACCACCTTTCCTGCTTCCTGAGAAATCTGTATGCAGGTCAAGATGCAAGTTAGAACTGAACATGGAACAGCAGACTGGTTCCAAATCAGGAAACAAGCATGTCAAGGCTGTATATGGTCACCCTGTTTATTTAACTTATATGCAGAGTACATCATGAGAAATGCCAGGCTGGATAAAGCACAAGCTGGAATCAAGATTGCCAGGAGAAATATCAATAACCTCAGATATGCAGATGACACCACCCTCATGGCAGAAAGCAAAGAGGAACTAAAGAGCCTCTTGATGAAAGTGTAAGAGGAGTGAAAAAGCTGGCTTAAAACTCAACATTCAGAAAACTAAGATCATGGCATCAGGTTCCATCACTGCATGGGAAATAGATGAAGAAGCAACGGAAACAGTGAGAGACTTTATTTTCTTGGGCTCCAAAATCACTGCGATGGTGACTGCAGCCATGAAATTAAAAGACGCTTGCTCCTTGGAAGAAAAGCTATGATCAACCTAGACAGCATATTAAAAAGCAGAGACATTACTTTGCCAACAAAAGTTCATCTAGTCAAAGCTATGGTTTTTCCAGTGGTCATGTATGAATGTGAGAGTTGGACTATAAAGAAGCTGAGCACTGAAGAATTGATGCTTTTGACCTGTGGTGTTGGAGAAGACTCTTGAGAGTCCCTTGGACTGCAAGGAGATCCAACCAGTATATCCTAAAGGAGATCAGTCCTGAATATTGATTGAAGGACTGATGGTGAAGCTGAAACTCCAATACTTTGGCCACCTGATGCAAAGAACTGACTCACTGGAAAAGACCCTGATCTGGGAAAGAATGAAGTGGGTTGGAGAAGGGGACGACAGAGGATGCAATGGTTGGATGGCATCACCAACTCAATGGACATGAGTGTGAGTAAGCTCTGGGAGTTGGTGATGGACAGGGAAGCCTGGCATGTGCAATCCATGGGTCACAAAGAGTCGGGCACAACTGTGTGACTGAACTGAACTGAAAGTATGTATTAAACACTATATGCCAGTCATTGTTCTAAGTACTTTTGGTGTGTTAACTCAAATTTTAATTCTTACAACAATCCTGAGGTAGATGTTATTTCCCCATTTTAAAGGCAAGTAAACAAAAACACAATTAAAAGTTCAATTGACAGATATTCCATCTGCTCCCTGAAGATTACAAGGACCTTGAAATTTTAATTCCTTTCTGTTTCTGCATATATCTTCCAAGCTCTTATGGTCTATTAGTATTTGTTTTTAACCCACTCTTTTGCTTTATAGTCAGCAGGAATGGTAACCACATTTTTATAACTAAGTTTATAGATTTACCAACATGCGTGCTAATTTATTATTTTACCATTCCTCTTTGCATTCCATTCCTTTATTTGAGGCTCAGTTATGAGCATGTACTCACAGAAGAATATTCTTTAATAGTCTTTCAAGGAGTATCTAGGAATGGATAATTCTCTCAGACTGAATGAAAATATCTTCACTTCATTCTTACTTCCTGAATGAAAAATTCAGATGTGATTTTCAATTGGCATTATTCCATTTCCTGCTGCAGTCTATAGATACTGGTGAGAAGTCTAATGTCGGCTTGTCACTAAAATTTTCTCTTTGTTTTTGCTGTTCTGCAGTTTTATCATGATATGATTAGGTGTGAATTTGTTTTAATTCATCCTGCTCAGACAAAGCATGCTATTCTAATCTGGAAATTCCCATCTTTCCTCAACTACGAAAACCTGATAGTCCATATATCTTAGACTACTGCCTCTGCTCCTTTTTCTCTTCTTTATTGTAGAACTCCTATTTGACATATGTTGGAATTTATTCTATCCATTACTTTTCTTTACTGTTTTATCATACACTCCATCTCTTTATCTGGCTATGCTGTTAACACTGCTACAATCTAGGGTGATTTCTACACATCTATTGTCTATTTTACAAGTACTCTCTTTGATTATGCAAATTTAGTGTTTATCCTTCCACCCCAACCATTAAAAAATAGAAGCATTCTTAGGAGTAAAGGAACAGAAAATTTTACCATCTTTTCTCTCCTCTAAAAAGGATACTACTTTGGAAAAATTTGCCAAGTGGTAGGGATGGGGATGACCCCTACTAAGGGGTAGGGCAGTATAACGATACACACACAACCATACATAAATGTAATCAATATACATAATGCAAATAAGAGAGAGGGAAAGTGTGTGTGTGTAGGTGTATCTTCACTGTATAAACTGGAAGCAGTCACTCCATTTGAGGGCTATGTAGAATTTAAGTAGAGGGAAGACTTAGATCTAGATTTTTTTCCTTTTATAACTATAAATAGATTTAAATTTAATACTGCCACCTGTTCACATAGTATGTAATTCAACTGAACACAGAAAACACATATAAATACCTGGAGGAAGAATATTCCAGGTTGAAAGAAGTGCAAGTGCAGTTCTTGTGGAGGCAACGGGCTCAGCATGATTGACAAACAGCCAGAAGGTAAGAGTGGCTGAAGTACTGTAAACATGGGAAAGGCAGGAGAATAAATGAGGCAGATGAGACTATCAGGTATTAAATGACATACAGCCCGAAAGGTCATGATAAAGTTTTGAACTATATCCTAAGAGTGATGGGAAGAGCACCTAAAATGTCTTTGAAAATGTGCTTTAAGTAGAAGTGCTTATTTAAATTGTACCTTGTGTTTTGTACAGTACTTGAAAAGTGACGCTGTTAACCAAAGTTATGATTTCATTTAGAACTTAAGTTGTAAGACTCAAGCTTTTCTATTTCTAAAATACATATAAAATGACATATTAGGAAAATCAATATAATGATTACAAATGACATAATCTGCTATAAGATCCCAGGCAGAATTCTATTTTGAGACCTGTGTGAGAACTATATATCAAAGACTACATAAAACACATATGTACAGTTTAATGAATAATTATAGAGTGAACTAGTATAGCCATCATATAGAAATAGAATATTACCAGCACCCTAGGAACTCTTGCTATATGACTTTTCAAAAAAGAGCTTACCAAGTACTATAACCGGTGATAATTATCCACTTAAATGTCAACTGAGATCATGTGACCAATCTTTTCATGGGCAAAAGAAATGTTCCCTTAAGTCCATATTTAATTTCAATATGGAAATTAAGTACGCATCCACTTAAAATCTATTCACATTTCAGAAGAGAGATGTTCCATATCTAAGGCACTAATTTTTAATTTTAAACAAATGGTGTATCAAGTGAATTAAAGAAAAAACAACAACCCAGAACTATAGAGCTTGAAGAAAACATATACATCTTCATGTATTTTTGTGAAAGCAAACAGTGATAAGCTTTAAGATTAAGAAGCACTTGATTAAAGTCATTCAAAAGTTAAGGTCTCATTATAGGTTTCATTACAACAGATTAGGTAAAATGAGGAGGCTTCTTTGTTGTTCTGTAGCTTCTAGTATATACTGAGCACTCAAATGTTTTACAATAAATATGAATAAGGATAATCACAGTATATCTAAAATATATTATTTTAAATTTAAGCCTATTTAATATTTCATATTATATAAACTTGACACGTCACTGATCCATGACCTTTTTACAATATTAAAAATTAAGACTATGAAATCTAAAAAATAAAAATTAAGCCTATGAAATCTAGATTCCTGCATCTTTTAAATGAATATTTTAGCAATAAACTACCAGAGGATAAGAAATGTGTGTGGTCAAAATTAAAGTAACAATAATTTAAAATAAAGAATTTCATATTAAAATTATATTATTCTCTAACAGTAATTATACAAACCTTTTGCAAGTGCACTTAAAATCGTAACATAATAGAAAGAGAATGAAATACAATAAATAAAACAAGCTATAAAGACACAGGAAATGTGGATAAAACTAAGTGGACAACATGAATAAAAATAACATTTGGAAGTATTATTCTTAAAGTGTAGTGCATTACCTGAATTATGCGCCCTTTAATTTATGCACATGATGGATAGCTTGTTAACTTGTTAAGGGGCTACACCATTTAAATTGTTAGTGGCTGAAGGCAGTCAGGCCATAATTTCTATTTAATGGATGGGAAAGTAAGGTAACAAAGTCTGCAGCAGCATTTTAATATAACTGCCTAGGAAGTTTACATTTATGTTCAAAGTATTACCTATATCTAGTCTTTTCTATGTTGAATTCTTTAAAAAAGACAAAAATCAGCTGCTGCAGGATTCACATATTATTAAATCAAAATTCTGATTTAACCAACACCTAGGAAAAAAATCTCCTAATAAGCAGAAAAGACTGTTCAACTAACCATTTGATGGTCCATTTCTGTTTTCCTGTTTTTTTGAGTTTCTGGGAGAAGCAATTGGGCTCATTGGACAGGTTCCAGTTGTTGGAGAATAGGCTGCAGCACTTTTCTTCCTTGTGATTTTAGGAGAATCAAATGACTAGAAACAGATAATAATTTGGGACAAATACATTATGTTTAGTTACAGACCTTTGGAAATACATTTGAAAAACTCACAAAATTCAAACAAATACTCTTTTCTTTGCTCTTTCTTTTTGGATTTAAATATACACAATTACTATCTTCAAAGTGAACACTGTTATTTCAAGGTATGCACATTTTTCAGGTCTCCATACTAATTAGGGCATCTCAATCTGATGTTTATGAAGTTTTAACACTGAAGGGTTGCTACCTTGTGAGATGGTATTTCCAAGCAGGTAGAGACGGCCAACTCTCCCAGTTACATCCTGACATTTGCTGTCAGCTGAACCTGAAGGATAATTACAGGGCTAGGCCAGAGAAATGCTCAGCAGTTCTCTCTTAGTAAGACTCACAGGGAAATCCTAAGAAGGGTTAGTGGTGTCCTTCAACTTCACAAAGTTGCTCTGACATACGTCCTAATGCTAACCAAAATAATGTTCAGACAGTTGAGTACAGCATTTAAGGCCTTTGAAAATTTGACCTATTCTAAATAAATCCTCTCTGCAGCTTCCTGTTCTGTGTTTACATAGATCATGAGTATACCTCTTACTGGAGTTAGTAAATTCTAGTAATTCTTTACATTTCTGTATACTCAACTAGAATTTACGTTTCTGAAAATAAATTATTATTTCATCTTTGTAGTCTAGAACTCAAAAATGTATGATGAATGGATGATTCAAAAGGAACAGTCCAATAAACTTAGACACATGATTCCACTTAAAATATATTCATTTGTTCATTCATCCATTATTAAATGACACCTATAGTCCCAGTCATTTAGGCTATGCACATTTCAGTTCAGTCACTCAGTTGTATCCAACTCTTCGAAACCCCATGGACTGCAGCACGCCAGGCTTTCCTGTCCATCACCAACTCCCAGGCTTACTCAAACCCATGTCTATCGAGTCAGTGATGCCATCCAACCATCTCATCCTGTGTCGTCTCCTTCTCCTCCTGCCTTCAATCTTTCCCAGCATCAGGGTCTTTTCTAAAAAGTCAGTTCTTCGCATTAGGTGGCCAAAGTAGCAGAGATTCAGCTTCAGCATCCATCCTTCCAATGAATATTCAGGACTGATTTCCTTTAGGATGGACTGGTTGGATCTCCCTGCAGTCCAATGGACTCTCAAGAGTCTTCAACACCACAGTTCAAAAGCATCAATTCTTTGGCACTCAGCTTTCTTTATGGTCCCAACTCTCAAATCCATACATGACTACTGGAAAAACCATAGCTTTGACTAGACGGATCTTTGTTGATAAAGTGATGTTTCTGCTTTTTAATATGCTGTCTAGGTTGATCATAGCTTTCCTTCCAAGGAGAAAGCATCTTTTCATTTCATGGCTGCAGTCATCATCTGCAGTAATTTTGGAGCCCCCAAAATTAAGTCTCTCACTGTTTCCATTGTTTCTCCATTCGCCATGAAGTGATTGGACTGGATGCCATGAACTTAGTTTTCAGAATGTTGAGTTTTAAGCCATCTTTTTCATTTGGGACTTGGCTAATCTTTCACTGTTTGGGACCTCACTCATAACCCACTTTCTCCAAATACTCATCATCACACTATTTCCTGTTCTGAATTCCCTTTAAACTTGTTTTCTATAATACTTACTTACCACCCAGCATCTGGCTAACTAATGTACACACAGGAATGAAACAACTTGTTCTGGCCTCATAAACAGCAGAGAACAGGTCTAAAGGTAGTATGTGTGCTACAGAAATTTGAAAAGGGAAAATCAAAATGGTCTGCAGTAATCTCACAGGATTCCTGTGAGGAGGAAGGGTGAGGCTTAGATGAGTGAAAACAGAAGGTATGAAAAACCTGAAATCTAGAGATGAAATGGACAGCAAAGGGTGGATTTGGGGGATAAAGGAAAGGTTTGAAGGGTCATGATATGTTGTGAACATTGTAGAATTACACTTTAGCTTGGCTGCTGACTTGAAATAGTTATGTAATTCTCTACTGTCAACTATTCTTTATTTTTAAGACACCATGGCAGAAATAGTAGCTATGTTACCTTTTCCAATAGTTTTGGTATTAGTTCCAGAATCTATAGCATCAATTATTTTTTTACAGTTAAGATTTTAAATGATAGATACTTTTTTTGTATTGGGGGAACAAAAGGCATTCCATTCTTTATGTATCCACAGTAGTCACAAATGTAACCAATATCTTTTTTAAAAAAATCAAACTATAATATCAAGTTATAGCTCTAAAGCAATCTTTTTCATAAGGTGAAAGGATTTTAAGTCTCTTTATCAGGTGGCTATTATTACCTCTCTACCTTGAGTTTTCACCTGTTTATATGTATTCAGTCATAAACTATGACATTTATCCAATCCAACCCCACTTTTCTAAGAATTTATTGCCCAGAACTATTTCACAGTGTATGTACAAGAAATGAAAGTCACTACGCTAATGTACATTGATGTCAATCTGTTTTCCTATTTTCACCAAAAATTATTTTTCCAATTGCCAAATATCTAAGCACTGCAACTGTAGATCATGTATTTCTCCTTGAAAACAATTTTCTAGCTTTTGCAAAATAGGTCTTCATGTGTGTACATGTGCGTGCACATGTGTGTGAATATATATATATATATAAAATTTTTGCCCTCACCTTAAAAATACTAAGGCTTTTCCTTTGCCAGTTTTTTTTTGTGATCTGTGTTGATTAAAAGGGAAAATGTCTGTCCACAATTGTAATGTGTGTGTGTGCTTAGTCATGTCCAACTCTTTGCGGCCCCCTGGGCTGTAGCCCGCCAGACTTCTGCCCATGAATTTTTTTTTTTTCCATTTATTTTTATTAGTTGGAGGCTAATTACATCATTGCAGTGGTTTTTGTCATACATTGAAACGAATTAGCCATGGATTTACATGTATTCCCCATCCCGGTCCCCCCTCCCACCTCCCTCTCCACCCGATCCCTCTGGGTCTTACCAGTGCACCAGCCCTGAGCACTTGTCTCATGCATCCAACCTGGGCTGGTGATCTGTTTCACCCTAGATAATATACATGTTTCGATGCTGTTCTCTTGAAACATCCCACCCTCGCCTTCTCCCAGAGTCCACAAGTCTGTTCTATACATCTGAGTCTCTTTTTCTGTTTTGCATATAGGGTTATCGTTACCATCTTTCTAAATTCCATATATATGTGTTAGTATACTGTAATGGTCTTTATTTTTCTGGCTTACTTTGCTCTGTGTAATGGGCTCGTTTCATCCATCTCATTAGAACTGATTCAAATGAATTCTTTTTAATGGCTGAGTAATATTCCATGGTGTATATGTACCACAGCTTCCTCATCCATTCGTCTGCTGATGGGCATCTAGGTTGCTTCCATGTCCTGGCTATTATAAACAGTGCTGCGATGAACATTGGGGTGCACGTGTCTCTTTCAGATCTGGTTTCCTCGGTGTGTATGCCCAGAAGTGGGACTGCTGTCTGCCCATGAATTTTCTAGGCAAGAATACTGGAGCAGGTTGCTGTTTCCTACTCCAGATCTTCCCAACTGAGGGATTGAACCCGAGTCTTTTGTATTTCCTGCATTGGCAGGCAGGTTCTTTACCACTAGCGCTATCTGGGAAGCCCATATAATGGTAATATACTTGGAAAAAAGAAAATCTACCTTCCTCTACTATCCCACTAAATACTCTGGATATTTATATGTATCTGTCTACTTACAGACAAAAATGTATCATCTTACTTCTTTTTTATAGTTTTATTTCTGTATTTTTATTTATTGGCTGTGCTGGGTCTTTGTTGCTGAGGGGACTTGCCTCTAGTTGCAGCAAGCGGGGGCTACTCTTTGTTGCAGTGTGAGGCCCTCTCGTTGCAGAAGCTTCTCTCGCTGTGGAGCAGCAGCTCTAGGCACACGGGCTTCAGTAGCTGTGGTTCCCAGGCTCTAGAGCACAGGCTCAGCAGTTGTGGTGCACGGGTTTACCTGCTCCCCATGCGGGATCTTCTGAGACCAGGGGTCAAGCCTGTGGCTCCTGCACTGGCAGGTGGATTCTTTACCACTGAGCAACAAGGGAAACCCCAGAATCATATTTCTATAAGTTCTATTTCTCTCGAAGTTTAACCAAGGTCCTCTAATTTTTAAACTCTGAAGATGATCCTAGAATCCACTTAAGAATTCCATTTTGCCAAACCCCAAACACTGAAGGACTTGGCCTACTCAGTCCAAACGTCACTGTACTTTTTGTTAAGGAGGTCAAAGCTTGTATATTAGAAAAACTAAAATTTGAGCATTGATTTTTCTGCCCAGAACAAAAGAAATGAATGTTCTCTCCATAATTTCAAATATATGTGATATCCTCTCTCAATTTCTTTCACAAATTGTAGCCTGTTTCGTCACCTTGTTTAAAGCATATTCTACCAAAAAGTTATTGATTTTTACCTATTATAAACAGTCTAAAAAGTACCAACTTAGGGTTCTTTCAGGATGAAATATGGAATATAAAGTGTCTGCTACTATTATTATGAAATATTAGCCTATGCTATCACTGAAATGTTTAAAATACAGGTACTGTAGGTATTTGGACAACCAGAAGCAAAAGAAAAACTAGGGTAGCTAATAGAGACAATTCTTTATAACCTTATACTGGCTAACCCAGTTATTGTAATGATGCACCTAAGATACTATGCATCACTAGTACTTATGGAATTACATTAGAAAATTTTAAATACCAGCTGTCTCAGGGATTTTTCACAAATTAGGCCTAAGGTTCCTAGAAGAGTCCTAAATATCAACTGTTTTCAGTTAGAGGCTATTATGAATTAAGATGCTAAGAACATTCTTGTATGTCTTTTTGTGGCTATATGATTTTATTTACTTGGAAAGTCCAGGAGTAAAATTGCCAGGCTATAGGATGGCTGTAGATTTATTCTGTATACATAAAATAAAGGCTTAATAGTTCTACAAAGTGTTTCAGTTCAGTTCAGTTGCTCAATTGTATCCGATT